CTCACAGTATAATTGATAATATTTTAAATTAAAAAATTTATTATTTTATTGCCTTTATAAAAATGTGTGTTTTTTTTTTTTTTTTTTATTATTAGCAGAAAATTTTAGTGAATTTTATTATTTGTTGATTCAGCGAAAAATATGTATTTAAATGTTTTTTAGCGAAAAAATTATTTAATAAATTATTTCAATAAATTATTTCAATAAATTATTTCAATAAATTATTTCAATAAATTATTTCAATAAATTATTTCAATAAATTATTTCAATAAATTCAACGGATTTCAACGGATTTCACCAGATAGTTTATCACCGGATATAAAAATCCCGTGGATTGGGAAAAAGTCAGTCGGATCTAAGCACTATACTAACCTTTAGATTCTAATAACCTTTCGAGTTACGATATGAATTTCGATTTTCGATATTGATTTCGACTTTCGATAAGACTTTTCGACTTCCGATAAGACTTTCGATTTCCGGTAAGACTTTCGACTTCCGATATGACTTCCGAGTATCGATATGCTTCGAGTTTCGAAAAAAAATTTTTGTCGAAAGTACTTTCGATATCGAGATTGTCGGAAAGTATCGACTTTCAAGGGGCATCCTTAATATTAAGGTGTTTATGACCTTCAGGATACATTGGATGATAAAAAAAAACTACAAAATGTGAGAATTTATCTTTAGTATTAACAATAGAAATTCGACTATTATTACTACTAAATATCAAGAAACACTATCTTATTCAATCATAGTAATTTTAATGTTAGCGTTGTCTTTCATAGTTTTTATAATTCTCAACAACTGATTTTAATTGTTATATTTAGTTTTTTTCTTTTCTACTACAACTTAAAATTCACAGCAACATATGTATGTAAAACTACAGTATCAATAAAGCATGTCTGAAAAAAATGTATCTTGAAAGAGCCGATTTTATTTAAACAATACAAGGAATTTTATTAAATGTTTACAAACTTTGTTGTGGGTAAGATTTTTTAAAACAGGCATTATTCATATTATATTAGTTCATATGCAAACTAAATTTTCTTTTCATTTAAGTATATTATCACCTCGATTGGTATAAATGCCTCGCATCATATTTACACCCCTGAAATCATGGATCCCTGTTTTATTCCTCACATGACTACCCATAAAAAATTCTTGCCACGTGGACGGGGAATAAACAACTTCAATACTGTCTAAACTGGAAGTTATGTGTGTGTACTGTATATCGTTATGGAATGCATATTTTTTAGCCGATTAAATTTATTTGAGAGTTTGGAACCGGTTTTATTTTCGTATGGTAAAACCATAAATTTTTGCGCGAATGCGCATCCTGACATGAATGGACGGGATCTGCAATCGCCTAAATTATACTATAATTCCAACAGTGATTTACTGCGGCAGAATGCGCATGTGAAGAATGTATTGCACTAATTTCAAAGTTGATCATAAATGATGCTTTTGGATGACAAATATAATTGTTATTAGTCAAAGTTTATTGTGCATATTATTATTTTTTTTTTACCAACGAAATTATTGTAAGAATCAAGCCATGCAATAAGTGTATCACATGGTTTCGCGAAACAGATTTTGTTATATTTGACGGAAAAATCGCGCATTAAGGCGTATCAGTTATGGTATGGTTCATTACAACATAACATTTAAACGAAAATCACATTGTGGCAGTACGGAATTTTTGTAAATTAATTTGTTAGTTTGAAATAAAAAAAAATAATCGATTATTAAAATATATCCTTTTTAATAAAATTGTTCCGCGTACTACCTTTATATACATTATACATTTCATGTTAGACCTTGTGACTAATAATGTTACTAATAATGTTCCTATACTATATCTACCATGTCTTTATCGACCTTTGATCTTTATCTACCTTGTTCCTTATCTGGATTGGCATTTTATCAACTTTGGCGCACTGCATCATATTATCCCGAAGGCTGAATATCGATGTTAGGCGTTCTTTCTATTATTGGGATGAAAATGGAACTTATTATATCGTCTCCTATTAATTATTCCGGTCAATAATATATACCGTAATTTTAGAGTCTTACATATCGTTTAATGATTAAAAATTATGTGTACGTACAGTTGTAGTGACCCCAACAAATAACGCCAATTTTCCCATGTATTACAGTTTCAAAACCAAAAAAAAAAAAAGTTAATACGTACGTACGTACCTATGAAATATTTAAGTTTATACATATTTGTTTTGGAAATTATTTCTCTAAATCGGATAAAATTATTAAGTATAAACTCCGATTAAAGATTATATATTTGGGAAATGTACGACGGTATTGTTCCAAGATCATACAAATAAGTCAAGACAAAGAAGCATAAATGCACATCTAAACTTTATCTTCATTTACTATGTTACACAACTAGTAAACCACTAATATTTTTGTATATTTTTATTAGGAATACGTTCATAAAATTCATTCGTATCGATGGGCGTCCTAATTTTTCCCACCACTATTATAGTACAAAAAAATTCTACGTATAATATCTGATATAATATAGAATAGAGTAGATAAACAATATGAGATAAATACTATGAGATAAAAAACAATACGTACAAATAAGATTGATTTATAATATATAGTAGATATACAAATTAATTTATTATCGTGACAAAGACACGGGTTATACGCTAGTTGATTAATATAATATAAATCACAATCAGTGCAGCCAATTAGAGAAGTGGTGGGGTAAATCCCATATGAATATGCTTTTGACTGTAAAACAGATTTAGACAATTCTTTATTTGGCTATTCACTCTTTATACGTACCCGTTTAAAATTTTCTGGAAAACAAATAAATTTGATTAATTGTGTCATCAAGATGACAGATTTGTTGTGTACATGACATAATTACTGTTCGATAACTTCTGTTAGCCAATCTACTGAGAATTTGATCAACATTCGATATGCACATGATTCGAATGCTCAGTTCCACAATAAATTTGTTAAAAAAAAACAATTATGTGCGACATTGAAAATTAAAGTACGAGTACGTACGTGCGTGCTTAGGTAACATTTCAATGTAAAGCTGATCAATCAGACCTTTAAATTAAAAAGATAGACCACAAGCGTTTATTTATTGAATTCATTAACATTAAAGTTATCTAAGTGAAACGAAAAAAAAAAAATTTTAAATTGGATGATCTAACGTATATTAGGTAATTTTCGAAAAGATCACGATCAAGGTTTTCGATATATAATTGCTACAATAGTATTTTGTCCTTTCCTTTAATAGAATTATCCTAATAAAATCAATAACACTGTAACTAATATTGATCTGATTTTTCTGCAAGGGAGAAGAGATAAAACGATTAAATAAAAAACCTCGTATTTGAATTGAAAAAATAAGTATAATTTTCTATACTTTATACATTTAGTAGTTAATACCATTGTAACTCAACCTCTTGAAAGTCATTTTACCGACAGGTCATTTCACTGACATATTAGCCCGATTTAGGGTTAGAATTAGGTTAGTGCTGGCCAATTTTTTATTTTCTGTGAAATGGCTGTCGGTTAAATGAGACATAACCGTTAATACTATTCTATTTAAAAACTGTAATATTTATTCACAATCACAAATAAAGTATAACAATTTAATGCTACGTAATACGTACGTATGCACTGTACGCATTGTTTAAAATTCGATGTTCTCAGTGTTCTCAGAGAACATTAATCAATTTTTAAGAACTTTATTATTATAAATATGTTCTCTATTTGAGAGCATTTGATAAATTCTTTGATATTAAAAAATTTTCAACTTTCCTATGTAGAGAACATTAAAAGCTCTCAATATACTTTCTTGAGAACATAAAATCAAATTTGAATTTGAAACACTGACTGTATGTAATTCAATATAATATAAAATCCACATTTCTCAAAATTTAGGATGTCTCCCTCAATGTAATTTGTTAATTATCAAGTCGTTGCTCAATTGAAATCATTTTAATAATAACTTCGCCGAAAATCCATTATGTGAAATGTGGACCGTAAATTTCAGTCAAAGTAATTCTGAAAAACTTTGGTGTCAGGGTTTTTTGACTTAAATTATAAACACAATGATCAATTTTCTCAGCAAATTAGTTATCTAGTAAACCCATCGAATGGAGGCTTTAAACGGCCTTAGTTTATGAAACTGTTTTCTGCGCACAAAAAAAAAAAAATTACTTATAAAATTTTGATTTTAAAATAAATACCTTTGAAATTTTTACTTCGAAATAATTTGAAATTTTTTTTATCCCAGTCTCAATTACTTAGATTTTATGTTGTAAGTGGATTCGGAATTCTATAGATTCCGAATCCACTTAAGTGGGAATCGGATCTTAAAACGATTCATGTGGTGATGTAATTTAATGATTAATAAATAATTATACGTATTTAAAAATATATTCGAATAAATAATTATTTTATTTTTTCTAAGCCTATACTCTACAAATGATTTATATTATCGTGGTTGACCAAGCGAGTGCAAAAATAATAATTGTAAATGTAAACTCTCTGGTATGCTACATATATAGTACAAAATGTAAAAATAAATAAATAATATATAATTTTTATTTAGTTTATATTTTTTAGTAAATTATTTGTAATTACTAAATTGTAATCGATAGTTTTTAAAATTCTGTTTCAGTGGATTCGGCATTTATTCAAGTGGATTTGGAATCTACAGAATTCCGAATTTACTTACACATATATATGTTTAAGAGCGGTTGGAAGTTGCGGAAGAAGGGTAAAGACATGCAAGGAGGCGATTAGAAGAGAAGGAAGAAGAATTAAAGAAAAGAGAAGCTTATTGGAATGATTATAATACGTAAAAAAAAATTCAAATAAAATTTCTTGTATATAATTTCTTTAAATATGTTCTTTTTTGAGAATGGTTAATGTAATTCAGAACTTCATAAAGCTTTTTTTCTACGGTAAATAAAAGGGTAAGCTTGAGCCAGAAAGTAGTTTATATTCTAATCCTTTTAACGATTTTTATTCATTATAGGTTGCTCCATTGGAGAAGATTTCATATATCCTTTTGGTTTTTCTTTTCGAAAATAGAATGCTTGTACTGACATTTTACATTTATCTAGTTCTTGAGGATTTTCATCATTTCGCTAGAATCACGTGATGAATATCTGAAATCGCCTTTAAGTAAATTTTTCTATACTGATTTTTGACTTCCAAATTTACTGTTAAATTTTATCACTTTACCTTATAAGTTTTACTATGAAGGGATATTAGTATTGGGCTTAGATCGGTGGCTTTCAATTTGTAATCTTTATAAATTAATTCTGAGTTCGTGCTTTAATAGTTTCTGATTGGTTGAAATGTGACCGAAGTATAGTGATGGGCCTGCGCGGGATTTTTAATATGATCCCAATTTAGGCCAGCTGGCCCGCATTAACATAATTTCCCTATCCCGCGCGGGATATTTTGGAAAACCGTGATTTGCCCATCACTACTTATAGGTGATGTCTAACTGATTACCCATCTCAGGAACACGGAAATTTTATTTTAAAAATTTGGATTGAGAAATGCACATATTTGGATAAATTTCGATAATTATTTAGCCAACATAACAAAATAAATGCTGCAATTTTTGATTAGAAATTAAAGTCCGAATTTAAT